TCTTTTTTTATTCCTTTTTATTTTTAATTTTTTTGTGTTTGCTTCAAAATTGTAATCAAAAAAAAAAAAACACATATCTGAATCTTAATTCTAATTTTTTTTCTTTTTTTTTTCGCAGGACCTCATGTAAAATGGTATAATAAATGAGGTTTCCCTATATTTTTTTAAATATAATGTGGGTACCATTCATTAATGGTGTTTTGATCCTTTGGTTAACTATTTTTTCGTTTTTTTTTTCGCTTTTTTTTTCATCATTGATGCTGCTGGCAACTTCTCCATTCTACTCTGTTTCGGGCTTCTCTCATTCACATAAATTCATATAGCGGTTTAGCCTCGTCATTACATCACTTTAGCAGCTTCCCTGTATTCCTACAACATCACACAAATGCCATTTAGTAATCCATTTTGTCCATCTGTTGTCTGTCAGCCTTGCCACCTAGCCAAAATAGACCTTATTTCTGGCGTGTATATTGCCCCAGCAAAATCGTTCACGTCGGACCGGATTCGTAGTATACGATTGGAAATACACAGCAATTCGGTGTCACCTGCCACGTGTTGTTTCGTGATTCCTTGAGTTCATCTGTCAGTAATCGAATGAAAAAATACTGTGATTGCCAATTTGCCTATCAATTTTCGTGTAATTTTTGCAGGCATTTATGTCTCCAATTTATCATCGTCACGAAGTGAGGCCACGCTGAAGGAATATCTGAACGGTCTGTTCAAGAAATTTGGCAAAGTGATGCACATCGTATTCGAGATGGAATCGGGCCCAAATTTTGTTGAACAGCGACGAGCGTTGATCATTTTTCAAAGGTAATCAAGCAATTCTCACATACATCGAACAGGCGATGGATACTAACTGGAGGTATGCAACCGATGGATCGAAAAGCCTGGCATAGCTGCTTTCGATGTGTAGGAGCATTCCAGTGTAACATCACTGACATGGGATTACCCGAACTGAGAACGTCTAAGCGCCTTTTATATCTTTGGTATTTATGCCTCCTACTGCTCATCTAATACCGCCTCTTCAGGCAACTGCTAGATTTCGGTTCGCCTCCGCGGAATTGGGAGAATTACTAAGGGGATGGTGACAGGAGGGGAGAAACGGGGCGGAGGGGAGGGGTTAGAAGGTGGTGGGGATCGAAAGTGGAGGATTCAGCTCTCCGCTTTTGTAATGGGGGGAGGGGGAT